ACATGAAGAGGTTTAAGAAACTTATACTAATAGGGAAGAGATCACTTAGGATAGTTACCGGCTTACTAACCGGACACTGCAAACTAAGGAGACACCTATTTAATATAGGGATTACAAACAGAAAAACATGCAGATTCTGTGATAGCGAGGATGAAACCTCCCTACACATAATAGCAGATTGCCCAGCACTAAGTAGCCTGAGGAGCAGAACCCTCGGGTCCAGGTTCCTTACACTTGGGACCTCTGGAAGCATCGACCCGATAAAGCTCCTTAACCTTATCGAAGGAGCCGGGTTGATGGGTGAGCTCTAAGCTCAGATAGGGGGTACAATAGATCCAGTTGGGTCGAGGTAACCTTTCCCCCCTAATAATAATAACATAGAAGTAGTCCAGAGGACGCAATCAAAGACACTGAGAGCTATAACTGGTGCACCGGGGTACATACGGAATAAAAACATTCACAGAGATTAAAATCTGTAACCTGTCCACCTAGCAACAATGGCAATGACCCTTCTATAAACTTTATGTTAACTAATTAAATAAATTTAATAGGCTTAGATTTAAATACATGTCGTCAGTCTCGAAGACTGAAATGTGAATTGTCTATGACAACAGACATGTTTTTATATCGCTCCGCCGATAACTAAAATACTTCGAAAATAGCCGAGTTTTATTTCGCGAAAAGGCAGGATACGTGTGGGTACTTCTGCTCATGTTGCTAATATCTATTCTATATATTTAAAAGGAAGTCGTGTAAGTTACACTACTTATAACTCAAGAACGGCAGAACAGATTTGGCTGAAAATTGGTAGGGAGATAGCTTAGAGCCAGGAACAGGATATAGGATTCTTTTTATCCCGTTCGACATACCAAAAATCGTATACAAAGCGAGTTTCTACCTCATCACACTGACAAACACACGCTAGCATAGCATTTTAACTCAGTTTTTGTGGTTTGGGTAAATTGAAGTGAAGTTTTTTGTGGTTTTGGTGATGGCTTCGTTTTACGTTAAAGGAAACATCCACGAAACTAAAGTTCAAACCAAATATGAAGAACACTTTCGAGCTGTGTCGAATTACCTGGAGGAAACAAAAAAGAACTTTTACACCTACCAACTAAAGAGCAGCAAAGGGCTACAACTACTACTAAAAGGAATCTAACCCGACGTCGCACAGTGGTTGGTCTTGTATGGAGAAGGCGGCCAAAAATACTTCCAGTAGGAATATCGACTTGAAATTTTTTCTGTAGGCATATAGTACCGTATGGGGGAGAGCATATAAGGCAAAATGTCTGATTGCATTCAACTTGGTGAATACCAGAAAGCTCCTTAAGCCGACGCACTACCTCCACGTGGTTCCCCTGGATTGCCATTCAACTTCCGTTGAGTGGCAAACTAATGCGCGCGACGAGAGTCCTAACCCTTCAAACTATGTTGTGGTGTAGGACTTGAAATCCAGCCATGGAAAAACAAAAGTTCAATGAAAGAAGCAGAAGAAGCCTCGGAACGGTACCGATTTAACGTTGACGACCATGGCAAACGAAAAAAGGACAATGATTTGAGAGTATGCACTTGGAATGTACGAACATTGTACAGACCAGGTGCTGCTCAAAAACTAGCAGATACCTTTAAAAAATGAAGGGCTGATATCATTGCTATCCAGGAAATGCAATGGATAGAGCAAGGTTTTATTAAGAAGAAGGACTGCGACATTTACTACAGCTGCCATCAAGAAAGGGATGAATTTGGCTGTGGCTTCGTTGTGGCGCTAGACTGCGGCGCCGAGTCACTCACTTTCTGCCAATAAGCGAGAGACGATCCGTATTCTTCAAAATCAGCCTGATATGCGCGCAAGTCACAGTCATGTGATCGAGGAAGTACAAGGGTGTCTCCCATTAGCGAATTTCGCCCTGGAAAATGCTGGAAAAGAAGCTTGTAAGGAAAACGACCGTGTTGTTCGGAGTACAAAATAAAAGTGATTTTTTAATACAAGGTAATTAGAAGTACATGAGAATGTGTGTGTTCGTCAGAGTTCTGGCATGTTGGCGATTTGTTGTTGTCCATCGGCACTAGGGTTGCCGGGTCTGCTGTTATTCTGTGGCCAGTGACAGGGGTATGTTAACTACGGCATGTTAACTCCGGGTCCGCTGTTATCATGTGGCCAGTGAGAGGGGTTAACTAGGGGTATGTTAACTCGCACGCTTCAACCGAAGGAAACGACGATGTTGCCAAGGATACTTTCTATGCGAAGGTCGACCGAAATTACGGCCGCTGTCCTTCTCATGACATTAAAATCCTCCTTGGAGACTTTAATGCCAAGGTGGGGCGAGAAGACATCTTTGGTGCCACCGTCGGGGGATTTAGTCTACATGAGACCACGTCGAGCAATGGTCTCAGATTAAAAGCATGGTAATATGGTAGTTCGTAGTACTGGGTTCCGTCACTTAGACATACATAAGACGTCGTGGCTATCTCCCGATCGACTGACCAGAAATCAGATCGATCATGTTGTGATCGATGAAAGGCATGCATCTAGCGCACTCGACGTGCGATCCTGTCGGGGTCCCAACATCGACTCCGACCATTATCTTGTTGCAGCTAAGATTCGCACACGGTTATGTGTTGCGAAGGTTGCACGTCGAGGACTGGTTTGAACGCTGCACATCGGAAAGCTGCAATCACAACAGACGAGAGTGTGAGAGCATAGAGAGCAGCAGATGCCGAAATGAAGCTCTTAACTTCTATCTGAGGGTTAAGCGTCTAACCCAAGGTTGTAAGACTGGAGGAGTTGCATGCGAGGACAATGACGGAAACCTAGTCACAGATGCAGAGATTGTGCTGAAGTTATGGAGGGATCACTTCTCAAGCCTGTTAGCTGGCTCTGCCACGGGCTATGAAGATTATGATCCACAAGCCCCAATCTATGTTACTGGTATAGATGTACCGACCCTTAGCCCTGCCTAAGTCAAGGATGCAATCCAACGACTCAAAAACTATAAATCTGCAGGTGCTGATGGCCTGCCAGCTGAATTGTTTAAGGCAGCTGGTGATATGTTGGTAGGGAGCATGCACCAATTTATCAGCAAGATATGGCGTACGGAGAGCATGCTCGAAGATTGGAGCCTCAGCATGATCTGTCCTGTCCTGAAGAAGGGTGAAGCCACATTGCGCACCAATTACCGTGGCATTAGTCTTCTTCCAGTCGCATACAAGGTCCTTTCGAGCGTACTGTGTGAAAACCTGAAACCCCATGCTGAAACACTGATTGCACCTTATCAGTCCGGGTTCAGGCCTGGCAAATCCACTATTGACCAGGTTTTCACCTTGCCCCAAATCCAGGATAAGTCACATGAGAACCAGATCGACACCCATCATATATTCGTCGATTACAAGGCTGCATTCGATAGTCCCCGTCGAGATCGCCTACATGCCGCCATGTCTGAGCTTGGATAGCGTGAGCGTGATGTTACAGCAGCCTTTGGGGCTATTGAAAAAGAGTCGGCTAAAGTAGGACTAGCAGTGAACATGGACAAGACAAAGTTTATGGTGTGATCAAGCAGAGAATCGCGGCGTCTTGATTCTCAGCTGGCTGCAGACAGCTATAGCTTTGAGTCCGTCATGGAATTCATCTACCTTGGCACTGCTATAACTAGCAGAAATGATGTCAGCCTAGAGATTAAGCGAAGAGTCACACTTTACTTTGGGGTCAGTTGGCATTTTAACAGTAGAGCTCTCCCTCGACAGTCAATACTCTTATATGGTTGCGAGTGCTGGATAGTGGTGAAATCCGATGCAGCCGCTCTTGGAGTGTTCGAGAGAAAGATTCTCCGTAAAATCTTTGGTCCGATTTGCGTTGGCGATGCTTATCGCCTTAGATGGAACCACGAGCTGTTTGAGCAGTACGGGGATGTTGATGTAGTCAGTCGAGTTAAAGTTCAAAGACTCCGATGGCTGGGTCACATCGCCCGTATGGAAGAAGACGCTCCGGCCCGTAAGGTGTTTGATGCGGTAATTTTTGGGAAACGGAGGAGAGGACGACCCCGAATGCGTTGGCAAGACCTGATGGAAGCCCAGTCTACATCCGGTGCTGCCAACAGGGTGTGACTCGTCAAGGGTTGTGATGGCCAATTATTATTTTTATAATAGCGTATGAATACCATATTTAAAGTATCAGCACCATTAACGCCATATATATCCCCTACCATCGTATTTACAATAAAACCTTCAAAATTCGACTCCATAAAATTTCCACATTTATAAAAAAAAAAATTCGATTTCCGGCCCTCTCCCGCAGAGCCATGTGGCCAATGGCAGGAAGGAGGGTGCGGAATGGTCGACGGTTACCAAAAAACCGAAGAAACAGCAGCCAAAAAAGCAGCAGCAGCATAGAAAGGGCATGCAGTATGCCGACGTGTTAAAGTTGGTGAAAAATAACCCAACTTTACAGCAACACAAAGATTGCGTCAAAGGCATACGGATGACTGGTAGGGGCGAGCTTCTCATCAAAATGATGAAAACGGCCGACCCAGCCACATCCAGGCTACAGAAGGCTATGCAGGAGACCCTTTCTGATAAGGCAGAGGTTAAGGAGTTGAAGGAGCTAGTCCAGGTAGAGATCAGGGACATTGCTGAATTTTCGTCGAAGGACGACATAATACAGGCAGTTTTCGCCAATCACGAAGGCGATATTCCACCAGCGGCCATTCCTTCCCTAAGGAAGGCATACGGGGGCACGTTAACAGCCAAGATGAGCATCCCGCCCGTTCTTGCGGAGAAGATCCTAGCTGGTGCAGAATAAGATGCCATAAGACAACACCTTATTTCCCCTTCGAGTGGACTGTATTTAATTTTGAGCTTTTTCTTTATTATAAATTACACATGGTTCTTCTTCTTGTCTTTTCTTGTTACATACTAAAAAACTCGATCTCTTCCAATACCAAAAATTAGTGTATATACCAAATAAAATACTGAAATATGTTTATATAACAGCTGCAATGCGTTCATCAACATCCCGGGCCGCCCTGAAACATGGTTTCTGAATTAGGGAGTATTGCTAGCTTGGTGATGGGTCGGGTCATCTCTCCGGTAGACGTCTTAAGCCTTACGGCGCGTACAAGTCCATCTGGTCCTGGGTGTGCTTCCACTACACGAGCCAGTATCCAAGCTGCTGGTGGGAGATTTGAATCCTTCACAAGAACAATATTATCCTTTGCGATGTTAGGTTCCTTATTGTTCCACTTGTGACGTTGTTGCAAAGTTGTAAGATACTCCTGGTGCCAGCGTTTCCAAAATCCCTGATACATTGATTGCAGGTGCTGCCAGTAGTCCAAGCGATTGATAGGCAAATGAGATAGATCACCTTCTGGAACAGTTCTGAATGGGCGTCCGATGAGAAAGTGAGCTGGAGACAAGTATGTGAGATCAGTATCAGGTGTATAGCAAAGCGGTCGCGAGTTCACAATCGCACTAATCTGAGCAATCAGGGTTTGCATTTGTTCAAACGTTAAAATGGATTTTCCCACGACGCGTCGAAGGTGTAGTTTCACGGAGCGTACTGAAGACTCCCACTTTCCTCCCCAGTGCGGAGAATGTGGCGGTATGAAGCTCCACTTGATTCCATCATTGGCCAGCGACTGGGTCACAGTGTGTTGATGCTCCTGTGAAAATAAAAGTTCTTGCATGTCGTCCAGAATCCGTTTGGCACCGACAAAATTTGTGCCATTATCGCTGAAGATCTGCGAGCATTTTCCTCGAAGAGACATAAATCGTCGGAGACAGGCTAAGAAGGTGTCTGTGCTAAGGTCGGTGGCCAACTCCAAGTGAATGGCTAACGTTACAAGGCAGACAAACAGACATATGTAGCCCTTAGTCTTTCGGGGATTACGTCCTCTTCTTTCCTTCAAAATGAATGGTCCAGCGTAATCACAGCCTGAGTGCTGGAAGGGTAGTTCCTCTGTTATTCGAATGCCTGGGAGATCGGCCATGAATTGCTGCGCTGTGGCATTACGTTGGCGAAAGCATTTGATACATTTGTGCACCAGATTCCTTATAAGATTACGCGCTCCAAAAATCCAATATTTTTGACGAGTAATGACAAACAAAGCAGAAACTCCTGGATGAAGATTTACAGTGTGTTCATGTTCCAATATCATTCTTGTGATGCGGTGCGATTTCGGAAGCAATATAGGATGTTTGACATCAGTTGGTAGCTGGGATTGCCTTAGTCGTCCACCGACTCGAAAAAGGCCGTTCTTGCAGACAATCGGAGAAAGCTTGATCAATTGGGAGCGGCTCCGAAGTGGCTTATTTTCCAATAGTAAAGCCTTATCATCCTTAAAACTTGCCTGAGCCACTTGAAGACAAAGAATGCTAGCAGCGTGGATCTCCTCAAAGGTGAGCCCTTTTCCACTTGACAGCGTGCCTGATTTGCTAGCCTTGGTCCTTTGAATAAAGCGTAAAACGTGAGCCACAATTCGAACCAGTTTTGTCCAAGACGAGATGCGTTGAGCCAACTCTTCTATTGTTGAAAACGAATCCACCTCCTGAGTCGTCAATACAATGGTCTTCACTTCTTCCTGGCCATGTTTTTCTGAAAAAGAAGAACAGAATTTGGAGCAGCTCAACTTTACCGCGAGTTTTTCTGGATCTTGTAGCCATAAAGGTCCCATCCACCACAGGTCAAAATGGAGCAATTCTGCAGCAAGCATGCCTCTTGTGGCGCAATCGGCGGGATTTTCCTTTGTATTTACATGGTGCCAGGCATTGCGTGGCAAAACATCTAGAATTTCCGAGGTTCTATTTGCAACAAATGTTTTTAGCTTCGAGGGTGAGTGCGAGAGCCAAGCCAAAACGATGGTTGAGTCGCACCATGCGTGTATTTCGACGTCCTTGTGTTGTAAAGCAGCCTTTATTGATATGATCAACCGACTTAGTAGCAGAGCTCCACACAGTTCGAGGCGAGGTAGTGATTGCTGCTTGAGCGGAGCAACTCGGGTTTTTCCAGCTATGAGTGAAACGGAGATAGTGCCATTTGCTCGCACTACTCGGCTGTAGACGACAGCGGCATATGCTTTGATGGAGGCATCCGAAAATCCGTGCAGTTCGATGTGATCTACCTCGTTGTCAACAAATCTTGGTATACGTAGTTCTTGAATTATATTTAGATCGCTCCGGCATTTGTTCCACCAGTCAGCAATTTTTGAAGGAAGTTCTGTATCCCAACCAAGATCGAGTAGCCACAACTCTTGAAACAGCATTTTAAATTGTACCACCACTGGCGACAGAACACCCAGTGGGCCAAAGATGCGTGCCACGTCCGACAGCACTTGTCGTTTGGTGTTGCGTGGATTTGCTGAGAGGGACACCTTGAATGATAATGTATCTTCGTGCGGATCCCAATGAATGCCAAGAACCTTTGCTGCAGAATTGGGTTCCTTGCCTTGACCTTTGGTTGCTATGCGCGGGGAATTGGAGACCCACTTGCCAAGTTCCATGCCTGCACATTTCATTAGTTGGATCAATTCTCTTTGATTGCAAATTAGCTCCTCCTCAGTGTATGCTCCCGTCAGTACGTCGTCCACATAAAACTCTTCCTTTAAGATTTTGGCAGCAACTGGAAACTTGTTCTTATGGTCATTAGCCAACTGATCCAGGACCCTCACAGCCAAGAATGGTGCGCTAGAGGTGCCGTAAGTTAAAAGCTCATAGTGCTTGATAGGTAGTGTTTTATTTTCTCTCCACACAATACGCTGGTAGTTGCAGTGATTGGCCGCCACCCAGATTTGTCTATACATTTTGACAATATCTGCAGAAAACACAAACTTATACATTCTGAAGCGTATACAAATCGGGAATAAGTTTCGCAAAATACTGGGACCAATATGCAGCGCTTCGTTTAAGGACTTTCCATTAGTATCCTTAAAAGAGCCGTCGAATACTACCCTCAATTTTTGGGTAATTACTGGATGGTGTGGCAAGTAAAAACTAGGCCCTTTCTGAGTGTCTTCTGGCGATAATTCACGCATATGACCTAGACTAAGGTACTCACGCATAAACTGAACATACTGTGCGTGCAGGTTTGGATCCTGCTTTAGGCGGCGTTCCACACCCTTGAATCTTGCAAGTGCTCCTTGTAGTGTATCTGAAAACTGTTCCTTGAACGGAAGTTCGACTATGTAACGCCCCTTGTGATCCCGAGTGTGTGTATTCATAAAGTGTTGTTCAACTTCGTCGTCGTCTGGTTTCCGTTGAAACTCCTGGTTGATATCTTCCAGCTCCCAAAAGCGTCTCAGTGACGCGTCAATGTCAACGGCCGTGTGCATTGTTGTTGTCGATGAAGATCCGGTGGTCATGATAGAGGTTATGACCCATCCAAACACTGTAGAAATGGCGATGATGTTTCCTTTACTGTCAAATAATTTTTGTCCTGTGAACACGGACCATACGTAATCGCTGCCAAATAAAATATCGACTGGCGCCAACGATTGATAATCAGAATCTGCAAGCTCAAAGCCATCGAATGCCTTAAGTGCTGAGGCTTCGATATTGTGTCTTGCCAACCTGGAAGTAATCTTGCTGAGTACGTGGGCACGTACCTTCATTTTATGCTCAGAGATCCTTGACTGCATATCCAGTGTACTGCAGCCTTTAGTTGTCTCAGCCTTGATCGATGAAATTCCAGACACCAAAATACGTGATGGCGAGCGTGCTAGCCCAAGTGCCTGTATGCACCGCTCCGAGATATAAGACAGTTCCGATCCACTATCCAGTAGCACCCGACAGATGATATGCGATCCTTGGGCGTTTCGAACCAACACCAAGGCAGTTGGCAACGCACTCTTGCGTAACCCTTGTGGCTGTTTACCAGTTGTTGATCCTGAGTACGTGGATTTGGTTCCTGGAGTGATTTGCACACGTGCGATGTGGCTGATGGTCGAAGTTGTAGCTTCGTGAGAGCTGAGAACGGGCGGTTCCTCCTCCCTTTTCTGTGTCCGAGCCACAGCGGCTTGCGAATTAGAAATTTCTGCGTGTAGTAAGGAGTGATGACGATTATGACAAATCTTGCATGTAAATTTGGATTCACACTTGCGTGACACATGCCCAGGCTTGAGGCAGTTAAAGCACAAGGATTTTGCTTTAACAAACGTGCGTCTCTGATCTATAGATAAAGCATCGAACTTTGGACAAACATAGATCTTGTGATCCTTAGAGTTGCATTTCAAGCAAGCACCTTCCTCCGTCGATACCAAAGCGTATGAGGATCGCTTGGCTTTGCTTTGTTGTTGCCCCGACTTGAAGTTTACGTCAGCCTCACTTTTGCTGAGTTCAAATTCCTCGCAGCGTCGGTCTAAGAACTTTAGTAGATCGTTTACGGATGGAGATTCCAGTTCACGACTTCCTTCAATCCATTTGCGTCGAGTTTCAGCGTCAATCTTGGCCAGGATTAAATGTATAACCCAGCAGTCCCTGGTTGTTTGTCCTACTGCGCCATCTGTCACATTGCGCAGAACTGTAACATCTGCTCTGGATGTTGACGGTAAATTTACAAAGGTTTCCAGTAAGGTATTGACGATGTGACGAGGTCGATTGTAGCGTTCAATTAGACAAGTCCATGCAGCTCCGTAGGCTGTATCCGTTATTGGCATATGACGTATCAAATCCGCAGCTTCTCCCGTAATGTATGTTTTTAAGTAGTGGAATTTTTGTATGTTCGTCAAATGCTGCTTGCTGTGAATTGTACTCTCAAAGATGTTCTTGAATGCTGGCCACTCCTTGTAGTCACCAGAGAACAGCTTGATATGTATTTTTGCAGTTCGTTCTGGATTGCATTTGCCGTCGAATTTGTTTGCAAGAACGCAGAGTGTTGCTCAGCCAAACGTTGGTTGAGCTCTTGTTGTTGTTGTAGAAAACGAAAAAAGTTTTCGTTTCCTATCCCTGATGCACTTGATGCAGCACCGTCCCTGTTTTCAGAGTTCGTTCCGTTGTTACTTTCTCCACGACTCTCCATTGATGACTCTCTAGCTCGTTTTAAAGACTGAAGCAATGTGTTAGCTTGCAAGAACTTCTCTTCATACTTATCATTGTCGATCGCTGGATCAACATATCCCTCCTCCTCGTCGAAAAGGGCCATTTTGTCGCTAAGGGTCTCAAACTCCTTCCAAACGATGTGAAGCCTGTCCAGAAGCACAGTTATCTCATCCAGTTCCCAATTTGATCCCGCACGTGGATCGTGACGCAGTTAGCAAGCGCGTGAGGCTTGCCTTAGCGCGGCTTCTGGCCGCCTTTACTATCTTCATTTGCTCCATGGTAATCTATAACTTATCCGGTTCCGAATGACCAAAGATATGGTGCAGAATAAGATGCCATAAGACAACACCTTATTTCCCCTTCGAGTGGACTGTATTTAATTTTGAGCTTTTTCTTTATTATAAATTACACATGGTTCTTCTTCTTGTCTTTTCTTGTTACATACTAAAAAAACTCGATCTCTTCCAATACCAAAAATTAGTGTGTCGCAGCACAAAATATACCAAATAAAATACTGAAATATGTTTATATAACAGCTGCAATGCGTTCATCAACACTAGCAGAAGGAAAAATCCGCATCGACTGGGCGCACTGTAGGGTCCGTAAGTCCGTTGAGCCAAAGCGATGCTATAAATGCCTCGCATTTGGTCACATGGCCTTGCACTGCCGTAGCAAGGTCGATTTGTCCAAAGCGGGCTTTAACTGCGGTGGGCTCGATCACGAGTCCAAAAGCTGCAGCAAAGAGGCACGCTGCCTACGATGCGCAAAAACCCATGGCGCAAACTGCAAGCACCACACGCTTAGCAGAAGCTGCCCAGCTTACCAGCAGGCTCTCAAAGCAAAGGGAAAATTAAAATTCTCCAATTGAATTTGAACCATTGCAGAGCGGCTCAGGACTTGCTTGCACAAAAAGTGCGAGCCTCAAAAATAGACCTGGCCATTTTGAGCGAGCCATACGCAAGTAAGCACGATGGGATTTGGTTTCAAAACACCCAAGGTGGTGCAGCAATTTGGAGCTGCAGCCCGAGACCAATGAAGATCCAATGCCGGCATTCAGGCAGAGGTTTTGTCAGGGCGAAGGTGGGTAGCCTTACCATCTATTCGTGCTACATTGCACCCAGCGTGGACTCCCAGACATTTGGCAGCATTGTGGACGACATTCTCGAGGACGCCAGAGGTCGACACCCCATCATCATTGCCGGCGATTTCAACGCCTGGGCAACGGAGTGGGGCAGTCGCCACACAAACCATAGAGGCCACATATTGTTGGACGCTGTTGCCCGGTCAGGCCTCACTCTGGCTAACACAGGGTCAGCCAACACCTACGAGAAGGCGGGAATGGGTTCAGTGATCGACATCACGTTTATGAGCCCAACCTTAACCAGGACGTCAGCATGGCAAGTCTCAGAGATATATACCGGAAGCGATCACCGGGCCATCACCATGGAAATAAGAGACGGGCGATTTAAACGCAAAACACAAATGCGTCCACTGGGTTCCGAGATTCTACCCTCGACCCGCAGGCCCTGATCTTAATGGCGGAAGATCTCGTGTATGACGAGCGTAAGAACGCCAACGAAAATGCTGTATGCATTAAAAAAGCAACTTGGTCAGCATGCGCAGCTTCCATGGAAAGGAGACGTGCTGGCGGTAATGGGTGTCCCCCGGTGTATTGGTGGATCGATGCCATAGCGGAGGCGCGCAGGAAGTGCCACCAGGCACGAAGGCAATATATGCGCTCTCGAGGTAGGCCGAACTTCGCCTCACTCCAACGCCTCTACAAATCCTTGCGGACGGCTCTTAAAAAGAAGATCTCCGCGAGCAAGAAACAATGCTTCGCTAAACTATGCGATGACGCAGACACACGTCCCTGGGGCACAGCGTACAAGCTGGTAATGGGGAAGTTGGCGGCCTTCAGCCAGCCCACCCCAACATGTCCTGAGCAGCTCAGCAACATAGTGGCGCACCTCTTCCCGCCGAGTGTAGCACTGCTGCCACAGCAAGAGCCCTCCCCGCTTCAAAGTGAGAATTTTTCCACGTTCACAAATGCTGCGGAAGTCCTGGCTGAAGTTAGGAGAATCAAAGTCGAAAAGGCCCCTGGCCCAGATATGATTCCTAACAAGGCATTAAAGATCATAATGACGGAGAGATTAGAGATCTTTGTCAAGCTCTTCAATGCCTGTTTTGCTCAGAGAACGTTCCCTGAAGCCTGGAAAATGCAGAGACTGGTACTATTACCCAAGGGCAGTCAAAATGACAACCTTGCGGCCTATAGACCACTCTGCATGCTTGACACGGTGGCAAAGGTATATGAGAGGCTCATCTGCAACCGCATCGAAGTTGCACTGTCCGAGGGTCCGGGCTTATCCCACAATCAATTTGGTTTTAGGAAGAAGCGCTCCACAGTGGACGCGATCGGGCTGGTACACAAACTGGCCTCTGAGGCAATCCAGGGAGCACGTTAGCGAGGTGGTAGCAAAAAATACTGCCTGGTGACTACTCTGGATATTAAGAACGCATTTAACACAGCGAACTGGGAGCGGATACTTTCGGCCCTGAGACGTTTACAGGTCCCCAGCTATCTGGTGGACATAGTCTCAGAGTATCTTAGCAACAGACAGCTTCTATATGATACTGAGGAGGGCCGTCGAAGCTATGCAGTTTCAGCAGGAGTTCCTCAGGGCTCTGTGCTGGGCCCTACCCTCTGGAACTGCATGTACGATGGAATACTTAACCTACAGCTCCCTGAAGGAGCTACGATCATTGGCTTCGCAGACGATATTGCCGTCGTCGCAGTAGCGAAGCAGTTAAATGAAGCCGAAGCTGTAACAAATGCGTCCATCGAGCAAGCTTCCCACTGGCTATGTGCCAATGGCTTGAAGCTAGCCGAGCACAAGACGGAATCCGTCTTGATTAGCAGCAGGAAGGTGGTAGAAACCGCCCAGATAACAGTGGGTAGGACTACTATACGGTCCAAGCCCTTCATTAGGTACCATGGCGTAATGCTGGATCACCGGCTTACGTTCAAATTCCATTTAGAAGTGACGGGCAACAAAGCGGCTAAAGTTGCCACGTCCCTAGCTAGGATGTTAGGGAATGTAAACGGGCCTAAACAGCAGAGTAGGCGCCTTCTTGCCAGTGTGGTAAAATCCACTATTATGTATGCGGCACCGATCTGGGCTCCGGCCATGACCTCGCCTATCTATAGCCGCACGTGCAGGGCGGCATACAGGCGCGCCGCACTCCGAGTCATTTGTGGCTTTCGGACCATTTCCGAGGATAGCGCGTTATTTCTAGCCGCCACGACGCCCCTTGTCCTGCTCGCAAAGCAGGCGCAGGAGCTGGCCGGCGAATATGCATCGATCGAGGAGACTAGAGCCCGCGTGGTCTCAGCGTGGCAAAACCGGTGGAGTGGAAGCACAAAGGGTAGGTGGACGTACAAGCTGTTGCCCGATGTGGAGCGTTGGTTTGAAAGAAAGCACGGACAGGTTGACTTCTACATGACGCAACTGTTGACTGTTGACTGCTTTAAATCCTATCTTCATAGGTTTGGGCACGAGACCGACCCGTTCTGCACACTGTGTACTGGGGCAATCGAAGACGCAGAACATGTTTTCTTTTTATGTCCGAAACTTGAAGCTATAAGGCATGAGCTCAGCCTAGCAATTGGGAAGCCGTTCACGGTCTCTGACTTGATGATTACGCTACTGGGCTCACAAAACAATTGGGATGCCGTCAGCAAAATGACAGTCTTTGTCATGAAATCCATGCGTCGCGCTGAACGTCAGCGCAACCGTCGTCTAACCTAGTTTAATTACTAGTTGCGGCTTTTCAGGCCATCTCCCCCTCGCGAAGTGAGATGGGAAACGGAGAGTAGGTTAAGGGTTTTACTGGGTGAAAGACCCAGACTTCGGCTCTTCAAGCTTTACCTACTAAAAAAAAAAAAAAAAAAAAAAACCCTTCTCGCCTGACCTGCCCACTAACCCCTTTCCTCCTCCGTAGTCTTGGGGATTCGAGCGTGGACACCCTTCCCGCCGGATCCGCCAACCTAGCCACCCCACTCCCACATCCACAAAGTATTCTCCCAGCTTGGCCTCGCCCGAAGGTCCAGCCCGGTGAATTTTCGCCTCCGACGCGAAACACAAAGGAATCGTAGCCTAGGAATAGGATCCTGCGTTATTAAAGTCGTCTGCGTATTCCTCTACTCCCACCTCCGGTGAAGACTCCCATTCGAAATCACCCGTTTCCCTCGCGCAGCGGAAACCCCCTAGTCCGGTGTTTCGGTGATTTACAAATATTCTTGTAAAGGACTCTTGTAAGAATTTGAACTAAGTGTGAAATCCTTGTTTTCTGAATTTAATATTATTTAAAGAGATGTGAGAACTTTGTATTTGTTAAGAAGAATTATCGATTATTTGTAAAGCTCTGGTGACACTAATGAACAAGAAGAAGAGAGGATTGGGTTTGAAAATGTAGACGCGCAAGAAACACAAAATTGAAACGCACGTTTGCAAGAATAAATATAGTTGGAACATTTGAATAGTTTGTTTTACATCTTTCAATTTTGTTCTATAAATTGTGAAGCGTTCTCAATTTTTGCGTGATCTACTGTTGCCGTGGACTTGGAGGAAATTTGAAGTATTGCTGCCACGGACCCGACGCCGTATTTGTCTGTAAGCTTGCTTCAATGGGAATCCAATAAGCGGAAAATATAGAGGACATGAGTGAGTACTGCTGCCACGGACCCGACGCCGATTTTGTCTGTAAGCATACTCCCATGTAAAAAGGATAGAGAACAGATTATGAATAGGAAGTGTTAGTATTGCTGCCACGGACCCGACGCCGATTTTGTCTGTAAGCATACCGACTCTTTATAACGGACGCCAAATTTGTCCGAAGTTTCTGGAAGTTGTGAAATTTAACGGAAAACTGCATTAGTGTGTATAGAGGACACATACTGAATGCAAATGTGAACAGTTAATGTGCATAAGTGTTGGAGTGACAAATTTATTCTGTTATAATTGTCTCTGAAAGTGGAATAATTTTGTGATTGAAGACGGCTGTGAATAGGGGCAAAGCTAGCCGCCAGGGCAAATAAAACAC